CACCTCTATTTCTTGTTAAATTTTCCGTCTGTGATGATTCTTCCCCCACAGGTGGCATGTATGCAGTTCATCAACATTGTAGTCCATTCAGTAGAGGACATGAATTTCAGAGTTCATCTCCAGTATGAATTTACGAAGTTAGGCCTGGACGAATATTTGGATGTGAGTATGGCCTGGTTTTACTCTGACCAGAACTGGTCATTATTTCCCAAATGGATTAACATATTTGTACAGTGCCAGCCTCTGCATGGCTTGAATGACAATTGGGCTCTCTGCTAGTGCAGAGAATTGCAGATTGTGCCTCTCCGTGCCGGCAAGGGCCACTCCATCCCAGGTGGTAGACCTCTAACCTCCCTTCTGGACTCCATTTTAGGAGGGCAGCTTTACAATGTTATAGGCTCTAGAGAACCCCTAACTGCAAAAGCAATAGCTTGGATTCACTGCCTCAGTCCATTCCCCACTGCCTTAATTGGCCAGCACAGCTCACTTCTGGAGTTGTGAGGGCTGCTTTCCGGTCTCTTGGGGGATGTTGAAAGCATTTTGTGTTGCTGCAGCCTCCCAGGTAGACGTTCTGATACTGGGGGCCCTGCTCCAAGCTGAACACAGACCCTTGAGTGAATTTGGTCCTTGCTCTGTATTTTTTTGATCAAAATGTGCAATCAGTTGCTGTTCCCGGTAAGGTGAATGAAACCGTACATAGCACACACTTCCAGCATAGTGATCTTTGTTCCAAGAGAGCTGGAACCTGAATCTAATATAATGACCTCTCTGCTGAGAGGGCTGGGCTCATTTCAGACATCTGGGCAGCTAAACCGTTTTCTGCTAGTAGCCTCAAAGCAGCAAAGTAAACCCAGTGACAGCTTCTGAGAGCTTCGCTCAGTCCCTACCCCCATGCTCAGCAATGGGACTCATGGATTCTTGGCTCCAGAAACACCATCCTCTGGGCAGCAGGAATCAAACCATGAGTATGGCAAAGCAATGAGTAAATGATCACTTGGTAAAAATGACAAATTGAAGCAAAAGGAAGAAGTAACCTCAGACACTTACTTGGAAGCATGATGTCTGTTGTCAGCAGAACTATCCTTACATTGTTCATGCTACCTTGATTATTTCATTCTCCTCATCTCTCTATATATCTTTATCCCCAACAGCATTGCCCTCACACTGAAAGAGTCAAAAGGTCTGCCTAACTCTCCTAGTCTTAAACATTTATCTTCTCTAGGAGCTAATCATGTTAGTGGCTCTAGGGATTCAGTAATACTTCTTACCTAGCAAGTAAGGGGTATCTTCTCCCCTGCTTCCAGGTACAGAACTCCTGTTATGTGCAGTGGGAGACATACCTACAATGGAAATCTATAAAAGGGACATTGGGGAGAAAAATAGGGACAAGCCTTTTAACTCCCCTGAAGTCCATTGAACCAGGAGAGCTTTTGGAGGGGACAGAGTAAGGAGATTATACATATTTTCTAAAAATGTAGCAATTGTCTCTGCTAAACTGGGACCATTGATGTAAACCTGCTCATGGAGCATGGATGAAAATTTGACCCTCATCTTGTAATATTCATTTCCCCAAACCTAAGTTTGTTCCAAAGTTGAGCCTCACAGCTGGCCATAATGAACCAAATTCATCCTTCGTAACATCAATGAATTGGTCTGGTTTTGTTCTTTGGGGCCCAGTGGAGCAAGGTACTTAAGCACATGTCCGACTTTTAAGCATGTGAGTTAGGCACCTTGCTGAATCAGGGCCTTGGTGACCAGGTAAGGTGGGGAGAATTTGTTGAGCAGACACAGCATAGGGTAGTATATCTTCAAATGATTAAATGCTGTGGTCCTAAGATTAAAAAATAACACATTTTCCTACTGAATGGTGACTAGAAGTCCCCCAGCCCCTGACTTTAGAGATTTACTGGCACCTTCTGGAAATGTTCTATTTAAAGAGATTGCTGCTTTTATATCACATTTCTCCCCTATCCCCATGTATTTCTCTCTCCCCCAGTGTTTTATTATTGGGAACATTTACATGGAAAACAGTATTTTTGTTGCTTAGGAGTTCGTCTGTTCCTGCTGGTTTTTGGCTCTGCTCAGTGATAACAGAGCCAGAGCTACTTTTTGCTCTCTGCTAGGAACATGTACACATTGACACTGAGCACTCCGTTCTATATTGAGGATGATCTTCAGCCAGCACAAAAACTGTAGTTCATCTAAAAAGATATTTCATCACAATCTCTTCCTGACCTATGCCTATTCAGCTCAAAGGTTAACATTTCAAATTATGTGGGCTCATCTCAAACACAGGCAGAACAATAGAGAACAGATACAGAGCCTCTGCACAGATACACAAGGCAGAAGGCACACGGAGCCTTTCCCTCATCTTATTCAGGGGTCAGGCACAGTTGAATTCCATTTATTTACCTGAGTGCAAAGATTACTGTCACCTACTGCTTCGTGGGGCACTAGTCAGCCCAGAGTGGGTGGGAAGGAGGCAGAGCCCCTCCTCTCCTTTTGTGCCAGTTGGTAGAACTGGCTGCACCTGTCTGTATACTGGGGAGTTCCAGGAGGTATTTTTTATCTCCCTGACCACAACATCTCGCCCCCAGAACTCTCCACTGCAGTGGTGAGGCGTGGCTCCACACCAACCCCAGGGTGAGCCTGTTCCTGTGTATACATAGATGTTTGTCACAGATTTTACATGGCACATCAGTGAGTCTTCACATTCTGCTTGGTACTCTTGTCTGTGTCTTGCTCTTGCTTATGTGCTGTTAATAGTCATATTCAGATGTTAAGATCTCAAACACCTGCCATTAAAGAAAATGCCAATATTACTACAGAAAAAATTACTGCTTAATTTTAAAGTTCTCAACTTTTGCGGGCCTCCTTACATTTTGCCATTTATTATTTATAACTCTCAGTGATGTTTAAAAAGTTAAGCACTTATGAAAATGGGGCCTAACTTGATTGCAATGTGTTTGAATCCATTCAGTATTTGTGGCCTTGTCATTGCATGCTGCTGAATGCATTTCATGACGCTTCTTTTACTTTGGACTTTCAGAAGCTGAAACACACAGAGAGTGACAAACTGCAGGTGCAGATTCAAGCTTACTTGGACAATGTGTTTGATGTGGGAGCTTTGCTTGAAGATGCCGAAACCAAGAACGCAGCCTTGGAAAGAGTTGAAGAACTGGAAGAAAATATTTCTCATGTTAGTGCAAAGTTGAAATGACCTTTGACTTAGTTAAGACTAAGCTGTTAATGCTTTATATTGGTGGGCTTGCTGCAAGCACAGGCTTAGCCAGAGGTAGAACCTCTGGGTGTCAGGAGCCTCTGCGTAAGAGGAGTCATTTGGGCTGTTTTCCTGATGGTGGATTAAGCAGGTTTTTGGCATCTAGATCTGAACAAATCTTGAAAAATGTCAGGAAAGAACATCTCAGGAATGGTTTCTTGTGCAGCCGGTTATGGAAATCCAGGTGCTGCTAAGTGTGGTATGACCTCAGTAGGGAAAACTACACTTTATGTTTCCTTCATTTTTGAGACATGACAAGTCTCCCCTACTGCAGTTCTTGTGGGGAGGCCTCCAATCTTGAGTCAGTGGGGACTTGGCAGAGGCTGCTGCTTCTCTTCGTACTTAGAGCTGACTCTGGATTCAATTTAGAATCATTCATGTTAACAATGAAATGACATCAAGTAGTGGTGGCTACTCCTCAACAACAACCATGTGTTTTTATTGTTGCACAAGGAACTTGTAATGAAAAACAAGACACACAAGAATGTATTTTAGCCCTCATATTCTCCACTCATTAGCTAATTGGTGGCTTTGCTCCTAGGCCATTTACAGACTCACTGAGAAAAGGGTTCCTCCTATACTTTTGAGTAATTGATTATCTTGTTTTACTTGACCATAGCCAGGGATGGGGAAAAGCACTAGGTTCTCAGATACCACAGTGATTGTTGTGGTACAAGAGTCTAAATAGAATAGAATTGCACCGATTAGTAGTTTGGGTCTAATATGTGTTATGTCTGTCTATCTCTCTCTAGGTATTTATATTGCCCCATCTCTGTAGTATCTGAACACCTCACAGATATTAGTGAATTTACCCTCCTACTTGTGACCTAGGAAAGTATTATCCCCATTTTATACGTGGCAAACTGAGACAAGGGGAGATTAAGTGATTTGCCCAGTGTCACACAGTGAGTCTGGATTAGAACTAGAAACTGACCCCAGATCGTCAGAGTTAACCATAAAATCTTCTTTCCTTCCCAGTATGTGCACACAGGTCACTGTGCATCTTGAAAAATCCACCACTTAAGCACTGATCATATGTACACAACCGGTACACGTTGATTGGTAAAGTTCTTACTTAGTACTTTGATCTGGAAGTCACTGATTGCAGCAAGGAAGTTTTAGGTTAGACATTCGGAAAAACTTTCTAACTGTCAGGGTAGTTAAGCACTGGAACAAATTACCTAGGGAGACAGCGGAATCACTGTCATTGGAGGTTTTTAAGAACTGGTTAGACAAACATCTGTCAGGGATGGTCTAGGTAATTCTTAGTCTTACCTCAGTGCAGGGGACTGGACTAGATGACTTTTCAAGTTCCCTTTCAGTTCTACATTTCTATGATTCCCATATTGAATAGACATTTCAATCTGCTAGCTCTCATCAAGCTAGTATGCCAAAAATAGTAGGTAGCTGCAGTAGTATATTCAGAGGCGAGCAGTAGCATGGGCTAGCCACCCCATGGGTATGTCTTCAGGCAGGATAGCTTATGCTGCCACTTGCTGCTGCCCGTGCTACAGTAATATTTTTAACATGCTAGCTCATAGAAAGCTAGCTCATGTATGAGAATCAGGCTGAGAATCACACCCCTAGCTCCAAATGTAGACATAACCAGAGAATCTGACTGATCAGACTCACCTGGTTCCTGTCTGGGGGACCCATACTGGTTCTGCTTCACATGCATATAGTTCCTGTTGTCCTTGGTGGGAACCTCACCATTGATCAAGCATATATGGTCCTAGCTTTGTGGGTTGGAGCTTATGGATTCCAATAGTTCCAGAATTCTTAGTTTCAGTTGAATTACAGTTCCAGATGGAATCACTTGGCAGCCTGGGTCTGTATCGAGTTATGGACAGAAAAACTAATTTACATATAAATTGCAGATTCCTTAGCAATACGGTACAAATAAATAGAGCAGATAAACATTCCATGCCATAAAAGTACAGTTAGAGTTTTGTGCGACTTCCAACACATACACTAAGTATGTGTAAAGCAGAAACAGACTGAGGAAGCATGCATTTGGGATTATTTTAAATCTCTGAGCATTAGGACTGTGTCTGATGCCGAAAGGAGATGGATAGAGAACAGATATGCACTTGGACTTCATAAAACAAACTGCTAGGGCCTCAAGAGGTAAAGGCTCAGGTGTGTTCCACATGGCTCAGTAATGAGGACTGAAGTGCAGCATCACTCTGAGATGCACTGTTAGCTTTTAGTTTTTCCATGCCAGACATTTTTGGTATCAATTATTTTAGTCTTGAAAATATGACTTTCCTGTTTTAAAAATAAGTGTTTTCCTGACTTAAAAAATAACCCCCAAAGTAATTTTTTTTCATTCCTGTCATGACTTTACTCCAAATTTTAAACATTGGCTTGACGTAGAACCATTAGAACTGACTATAATATCCTCTTCCTTAAAGAGGTATTTTGTGCTGAAAAATGCCTTGGTAAAAACAGTGTGTTCTTATTTAATAGATCTGCTAACTATGAGTGTTTAGAGACATAATTGGCTACTTTAGTTACTAAAACAAGTTTTTTTCTGCCTCTTATTTCTGTTTGCACTACAAAATCTATTTGGCTATGCAAGTGAAGACTTGAAATTCTCAAGTTCATGCTTTAACAAAATTGTTTATTATGTTTGTTCCAACTGCAAAATCTTTATCTCAAAGTTTACAGAGCTGCAGAAGACAATTTTACATTACCATTTACAATACACTCCAGTTCAGTCAGAATTACAGTTTGGCTTTCAGATCCAAGTTAAGTTTGTAGGATTGGCAATTTACAAAAAACAACAACAACAAAACATTTTTATTTGTGAAATAAGCAAATCTGATCTGACAGTCATTGAAAGACAATAAATTTGGGCCCTAGGGATGCAGATTCTACTTTGCAAAGTGACTTTGCAAAAATGGCATTGTGTGGTTCCATGATTTTTTGTCTCTCAGTGATTTCCAGATCAAACTTACTCAGTTTATAAGTAAAGTGATGACTTCCTAACTGTTTTTTCAAAGTGGCCCGGAAGTCTTGCTTTCTTTGTAGGATATTCTCTTCTTGAGCAGACTCAATAACTGCAGTCCCATTGGGTTGGCTGCTGATCAGATTTAGCAAATGATGTTCAGATTTAACAGGACCATCAACAATGCAGTTCATGCCCCATGGACCAAATAATGAAGTCCTTACTCAGTCAATATTTCCATTGATTTCAATAGGAGCTTTACTGAGTAAGAACTTCAGGATTTGGCCCAATGTCAATAGCTTGCCAGGTACCACTTTTCCAGTTAGTGATACTGATATTGTTGTTTGAGAAATCCGTTACCATCAATATCTTTTTTTCAATTACAGTTATCGGAAAAACTGCAAGACACAGAGAATGAAGCAATGGCGAAGATTGTGGAACTGGAAAAGCAGCTTATGCAGAGAAACAAAGAACTGGATGTTGTTCGAGTAAGTGTGATGATGACATTACAGACAGATGTCACATTCAGGAGAAAGAGCTCCATTTCATTTCGTATTTAGTATGGAATTCATTGTTTGAATGGGAGTGTGACAGTGAATCATGATGTTTACACATGGTTCAGACTTTATGGATTGAACTTTTTTAATGGCCTCTTAACTTTGCACCCATAATCGATGGCAGGCGGATTTACTTGTGGGTGCAAAGAACTGACATTTAACTCTCTGATTGCCTGGCCAAATCAGACATGTAGATGTCTGAACATTATCATTCATGTCTGCATTTAATTCTACCTATAGTTTTGCAGACAGTTGATTGTGGGTGAAAATTAGAGGCTGAATTAAAGCCTTCAAAAAGTTTAGGTGCATAGCATCAGTGGCGTTTGAGCAGGTGCCTTGCTTGTGTGCTGTCAAATACGGTCCACTCACTGTGTAGAGTCCAAACTCACTCCCTTCCTGGTGTATGGCTTCATTAGCACAGACATTAATCATATAAAAGATCATTTAATAAAATACAAACTTCAGCCCAAAACTTCTCCACAGGCTGGCTGCTTCTAGACTGACTTACTCCTGACTGCTCAGCTCACACACTAGATTCTCTCTCTCTCTCTCTCTCTAGCTAAAAATTAGCATCTCCCTTTTATCTGGGCAGGATAACGAGCTATCTATTTCAGGTTTCAGAGTAGCAGCCGTGTTAGTCTGTATCCGCAAAAAAGAACAGGAGTACTTGTGGCACCTTAGAGACTAACAAATTTATTAGAGCATAAGCTTTCGTGGGCTACTGCCCACTTCTTCGGATGCATATCTATTTCAGTGACTCAGCAGAGCCCATTAGCCTTTGCACAGCAAGATCAAGACTAGCTAACAAGCTGGTGTGTTTCAGGTAAACACTGTCAGCATATTCAGGCGTCAAGACTTTCTTTCTCCGTAGTATGTATCTAGCCAAAGCTACATTATCTTAGGTGCTGTGCAGCACTTTACATCCATAGATCTCATAGAGAGAATTATATTTATATAGGGAATGGAGCTACACCAATTTACACTAGCTGCGGATGTGACATATAATCTCCACAGAGGGTTGTGCGGGTCTTGCTAAAGAAATGGCAATAGGCAAGTTCCATCACTATTAAATATTTTTCTCTGTTATATGTTTGTCTCATTTTGTAGATTTTTATGAAGTCTTTAGTCTCTGTTTTTTTCCTGTCTGAAGTACATTAGGTCATATGGAAACAGTTATATCATTGGTGTAGAGCAGGTTTCTCAAACTTCATTACACCGTGACCCCCTTCTGACAAGAAAAATTACTATGTGACCCCGGGAAGGGGGACCGAAGGCCAAGCCCCACCACCCCAAGCTGGGGGGCCAACGCCCAAACCCTGCCATCCTGGGGGGTGCCAAAGCTTGAGGGCTTCAGCCCTGGGTGGTGGGGCTCAGAATTTGACTTCAGCCCTGAGCCCCAGCAAGTCTTAACACCAGCCCTGGCAACCCCATTAAAACGACCCACTCTGGGGTCCCAACCCACAGTTCGAGAACCGCTGGTGTAGAGAACTATACCCATTTAAGGCAGGCAGCTAGGAGGACAGAATCAGGGCTTCAGAGGCCCTTAGAGATTTTCGGCCATGCTATCATGTGCAGCTGCCTACACACTGATATGGGCCATTGGTCCCATATGCCCTGGACACTAGGGGATACAATCCCTGTCCCGGAATATGAGCCAGTTGCACAGGTCCCCAGCCACCACTCCTAGGCAAGGCAAAGGGGAGAGACCAGGGGCAGGCACAGCTCTGTCCCTGCTTCTACCAAGTGTCCAACATGTGCTCATAGGCAGGCCAGGCAGCTAGCAACTGGACATGGAGCAAGCAAGGGAAGGCCACAGTTCGGCTGATATATGATCATCATATCACACTATTTATTTAGGATTAACATAATCCTAGTAGTCTACCTGGGAGATATTTTAGCACTGATTGCCACAAATTCTATCCTAGTACTCAGAGTTGAGATTCCTTATACAACTCATTCATGTACACATTCTTAATGCTAACATGGGGGGAAATGCAAAATGAACCCTCTTTCAGGCAAATGAAGAGGTATTGCTCTCATCAAAATGCTTTATCACTGAGCACAAGGGGCAATCCAGTGCCATGCTGTCATTCTATTTCTAGCTCGGCTCTGTGCTGTCGTTTGAATGCAAGTAAATTCTTTACTTTTGGACAATTCTGCAGGAAATTTACAAAGATGCAAATACCCAGGTTCACACGTTGAGAAAAATGGTCAAAGAAAAAGAGGAAGCCATCCAGCGGCAGTCAACCCTGGAGAAAAAGATCCATGAACTGGAAAAGCAAGGGACCATTAAAATTCAGAAGAAAGGTGATGGTGACATCTCTATTCTTCCTGTTGCTGTGGCCTCTGGGACACTGCCATCAGGGTCAGAAGCTACAGCTGGCACATGTGTGGGACCAGTGACTGGGGCTACGTCTTCAGTACCATTGCCGCCACCTCCACCCCCATTACCACCATTACCACCAACATCTGAGACAGGTGAGAAATAGTACGACTCAAGGGGCAGGTGTGAGGTTGGAAGTTGATGGTGCAGCTCACTGTGCCTGATCTCACTCTCACTGGTTTCATGCTGGTTTAAGCTCCATTGAGGGTGTAACTTAGGGTCATTGTCACACAACAGACAGTCACGACAGTGAATATTCATGGATCCAACTTGACAAACCCAAAGTGTTTGAACCCAGATGCAGAAAACAAAGTCTGCTCTGATCAGAGCAGATGGTTTTGTTTCATTCTTTTTAATGAGATGCATACACTGGTATGTATAGTAACTAGGGGCCAGATCATCAGCTGCTTTACATCAGCATAGGTCTGTTGAAGTCAGTGAAGCTACCAGCTTCAGTTTACATCCGCTGAGAAATCTAGCCCAGAGACATAATGTTTTGTGGCTTTTAGTTCTTTCATAGGTAATTCTTTGGTGGGTGTTGGTTTTGTTCTGATTAATGCTTTCAGATGCAAACATGTCTTTTCCCCTTCCTTTTGTAGTGCAAAACGGTCCTGTGACAGCACCTATGCCACCTCCACCTCCGCCTCCACCACCACCTCCACCTCTTCCTGGTCCAGCTGCAGAGACAGCCCCAGCTCCTCCACTGCCTCCCCCACCGCCACCATCAGCACCCCCTCTGCCAGGAACAGCCTCTCCCACGGTGATTTTCAACTTCAGGATTAGCAGGTAAAACAGTGAAACTGACATGCGTGCCCCACCAGTGCATTCTTCAAATAAATTACAAAAAAATCCAGCCATGCTGTTTAGAAGGAGCTCCATCAGAAAGTGACTTTTTTTTAATTAGTAAATTTAAAAAAAAAATCAAATTGAGAGCATTCCCTGAGGATGATAAAGCACAGAGAGACACCCCCATACTGATCTCCGACATTCTATCCACCACTTGGAATAGTCGGAGTTTATAAAATTGCTAGTGTCTTTTATGAAGGATTCCCCGCTGCTGGTGCTTTCTCATATTATAATTAGAGCAGGTCAAAACATTGTTTTCTTTTGGCTTTTTTCAATAACACAAATTTTTCAAAAAATGTTTGTTTTTGTCAAAATCTTGCAGATTTTCTTCAGAATTCAATCATGTGTGGTTTAAAATAAAAAAACTAAATAAAATATATAATAGTGGTTGCCAAAACCCAAACATGTTTCAGATTTGTTTTTTCAATGAAAACCTGAACATTTTTGAAGAAAGTTTGAACAAAAAGGAAAACTTTTTTGGTTTTGTCGCAATTTTTTCTGGGAAAAGAAAGTCCTTGACCAGATCTAATTATATTATTTTTATGCCCTCTTTGACTTATACCAAGTACCTAACCCAGCAAGTGAGTACTACTTGGTATCACCCCCCAAGAGATCATGAGAGCACACTATAATTGCAGAACGAGAGAAGCCGAGGAGTTCTGATTAATATATTTTTAAAACTGATTAAGTATTTCCACCCTTTGATCTTTTTGTTTCCTCTGAAGGAGGAAAACTCTGAGAAGCAGAGTCACCATGGAACTAGTGGGTAATGGTATGTTTAAAAAAGTAACACGCGTATAGCTGAGATTACTGATTAGGCTTTCCCTGGCAGGTTTATAAAAATAGTATTCCGATTTCAAAGCATGTGCGCTATTGTAATATTCCTTTGGCACCACATCTTCTTGGACTAATAATGGGTAAGGGGCTACAGTATGTGGTTTCCTTTCACCTTTCTCTTCCTGAAACTCGTCCAGTATTCAAACTCAGTCCTGTGCTGATAGAAAGAGTGAGCTGAGCAGCAGAGGGATTCTGATTTGGGGTTTTGGAATGGCATTATAATGTCAGCTTGCCTGCCTGTCTGACCTCCTCTCTGTCCTTTTCCTTTTTTAATCTACAACCGTTGGCTTGATTTTGTCATTAGTCATAGACCTCCCTGTAAACCTGGTGCTCAGTCAGCCTGCTCCATTTCTGTGTATTGTCTTGCTACAATTAATATCGTTTCCTTTGAGTCAAGTGTGATTTGGAGGAATATTATATGCCTCATGCTGCAGTGTGGCTCATTAAAATCCACTCAGTTCCCTGAGCAAAGCTCATTAATGAGAAGAAAAGGCTATACCTAGGGTCCTGTGCAATTCTCAGGAATCTCATCACAGGGTTTACTGGAAATGCTTTTCTGATTTCTGGTGCCAGATTTAAATCCTGTAGCGAGTGCTGAAGGTGTTGAACTACAGAAAATTACAGAGCTAGTTGGTGGGTAGAAAATGACTGAGATAGGATTTACATGCGGTATTTACATGTGAGTAAGTATATTGCACACCAGTGTGATGTAGGTGGACTCCCTAAGTCTGTGAACTGATTGGTTCTAGGAAGGAAAATAACCTGAAGTAGATTTTGAAAGCTGCTTGAAATGGATACTGATGCTATCCTTACATATTGATAATTCACAGCCAGCTGGGATTTACAGTTAGCTTAGTCTGTGTTGCCAAGTAAATGTCTCTGTGCATTGTATATGAATGGGCCATGAGGTTGATTTGTACCTCATATTTAAAAAGAGAATTGTAGGAGCCTGCAGCACAGTTCTCCTATACTGCAGTTTACTATAATGTTCCTGAAGTATTTTTGGGCCATTGTAGTATGGAGGACTATTCTCTAGTATTTGTTCTTAAGGAAATCCACTGAGCCAAGGAAGATGAAAGTGTCAAATCTTGATAAAATGCCTACATAGAAGGGAACATTTCTCCTACTGCTTATTCATAGGATGTCATGTGATCACATTAGCATGATGTATTGGGAACTTGTGAATTGATTAATTATACTATTCTAACCATCACTATTTTTTTTCTCTTTGTTCTTTCTGCTTCCGGGTAAGATGGGCCAATCAAGCTTTTCTGTAGGTTCTTGCTAAGTATTTTAAGTATTTGCACCCATTTCCTTTCTGTCCCTTTTGTGCTGTGACCTCCTCCTTCTACTTGTTATTTTAATTTCAGGCTTGCGTAATTTTTACATTGTTCCTAGAGTGTGAGCTGCTTGTTAATTACCTGCAAATGTCAATCAGGTGTGCAAACAACATGTGGAAAAGAGAGTTTATTTTAACACCTTTTGGAGGTTAAAAAATATGCACCTTCAGATAACTTTGTGAGTGCTGTCAAACTGAATTGTTTCTCAGTACCAAGGCACTGATTTAGCAAAGCACTTAAGCAGATGCTTAAGCCCCATCCACTTCATTTGAGTCCTACTCACTGACTTCAGTGGTATTAAGCCCATGTGTAATGGGGTTTCCACTCACTGTTAGTGCTCCTCCTCTTGTCTAGATCTGGGAAAGAAGCTCTTTCAGAATCAATTGCATCTTTCTGCTCTGTCTGTGATAGTCTGCCAAGTCACCATACAGTCCACTTCTTCCAGGGTTATGAAGTCCAACAGGACCACTGTCCAAATGCCTTCTCTGGACGTTGTTCTGCTCCAGCTCGGGGCTCTCTTCCACTCTAGCAGTGACTGCAGGGGAGCCTGGGCCCACCCCTTGCCCCAGGTTACAGCCCAAGGACCCTATAACCAGCAATCCAGGTCTGCTCTGTCCCTATCCCTGTTGCTGTTTCCCTGAGCTCCTTCCTACCCAGCCTCTCTCTTGCCACTTGCCTGTTTCTGGGTTTATCACTGGCGACCACTCTACTCCCCATTGCCACTTCATCCCCTCCCAGTCTCATGCTAGACTCCTTACTTCAGGGCAGGATCTCAAGACTTACTCTCATGCCAGGGAGTGACTGCAGCCTCCTTCTGCTACTCTGAAACCTTCTGCTTTCAGCCTCTTAGCCTTATAGTGCTGTCCCAGCCTTCCCCAACTGGGCTTCATTCACTCTTAGGCTAGGTCTACACTACCCGCCTGAATCGGCGGGTAGAAATTGATCTCTCGGGGATCGAATTATCGTGTCTCATCGGGACGCGACAGTCAATCCCCGAATCGACGCTCTTACTCCATCAGCGGAGGTGGGAGTAAGTTGGCTCCGATAGGTCGAATTCAGCTACGCTATTCGCGTAGCTGAATTTGTGTATCTTAAATCTACCCCCGCCCCCACCCCCGTAGTGAAGACCTGCCCTTAGTTAACCCCGGCCCTCCCTCTCCCAGGTGAAGCCAGGTAACCTAACTGACCTCTCAGGCCTTTGTTATCAGGGCTGGTGTGGGGTGCACACCCCATCACACTATGCTTAAGTATTTTGCTTAATAGGATTGGAGTAAATCCCCTGCTTAAGTGCTGTGCTGAATCAGGGCTCTCAGCCTGTAAAGCCTCTCTTTGGGGTCTATTCCCCACTCAAGATCCTGTAACTGTTGAAGTCAGTGGCAGAAGTATCATTGACTTCAGTGTGTGTGGGATCAAGTCTCCAGATTGCATGCATAATTGCTGTTTAATTGATGGCACTTACTCATGTACCTCAAGGAAAGAGTAGGACCACTTTAGTGTTACCTTACGCATTTAAGCATGGTTCTGTAACAAAGGCAGGGAATACTTTTGGTTTATTTAGTATAGTTTCTCTTAGAGCTGGGCAAGTAATTCACAGTAACCGTTTATTCATAAATGTAGTTTCTTCTTCTGTCTGGGTTTCTGACTTTGTCACTATTCCAGTTATTCATTATTCTAAATTCTTCGTCAAGTAATTCTTGGTCTAGAGATTGTGTAAGCAGTTCATTTCATTTGCTGGTCAAACTCGATTGACTAGTGTTTGATTTGTGTTCCTCCATCCTGAGTGGATGACTATAACTCTGGCAATCACGTTTCCAGTGTGAATACTCAAATTTACAAATTCAAATTTTATTTTGTGAATGCTTAAAACTCAGTGTTTCTACAACTATTCCTGCCAGTAAGCTCGTTCTGTAGAGTGAACACAAAAGGGACACAGACACAGAAGAACTGAATTCTTCTAAAAATTTGAATCAGGGAAAATGAGAGAAATGAATGAGAGAAAAATGTTTTCATCATTTGCCCAGCTCTAAAGCACAAGAGGAGACTGAACCCTGAAAAAGATGGTCTCTGTCCTGGAAAATAATACATGGAAAAGTATTGAAGAAAGGCAAACTGATGCCTTTTTATCTCTCATGCTCAAATGTTATAGCTCAGGGTGTAACCTGACCACGTGGGTGGCACTGGGAAGAAATCTGCTGCTCGGACAGCATTGCACAATTGTCTAGATGCGCTATGGTGTGCGTCGGAGGATATAGAGGGAAACTAGTACATCTGTCTTGGAAGAAGAGATGTATTCAAAATGAAGTTCCATATGTGAACAACCCTGAACTTTGGGAAAGTTTGCATCTGGATCAGAATTTTACACTTTGAGACTACCTGTACTGGGAAGTATTACGTATACACTGCTGGAGATGGTCTGGACTTCTGTTGCTATATTATCTCAATTTAGCAGATGACAGTTCTACAGGTTAAATGGCTTTTTCCAGCACTGGGGGAATAAGAAGCAGGGTTTCTCTCTTTCAATCGACCAGATGACAGTTCTACAGGTTAAATGGCTTTTTCCAACACTGGGGGAATAAGAAGCAGGGTTTCTCTCTTTCTGACTGTAGCCTGAAAATAATTTAATCATTCACTCCACATCTGAAAATAACTTAATCACATTAATGAACAAATCTTAATGACCATCACAAACTTCTAGTAATTGGCTGGGCCTCTAAATCTCAGAAACAATGAAAAGCAACATCCCAAAGTAGCCATCTACTTTAGATCATTTAGAAATACTGAGGTTTCACTGGGTTTTTTTTTTTTTTGGCAATTTGACACTTCTCTTATATGGCTTAATTAACCAAATTATATGTACCATGGGACATTTGGGGTTAGAAGGACCTGCAGTGAGTCACCTAGTCCATACCTCTATATTGTCTCTTATTAGTGTTTAGAATGACTATCTTTAGATGCCTGTCTAACCTTAGATATCTCCAGTAATGGAAGCTCCCTTGGTAGCTTGTTCCACTGCCTAATTATTCGTAGGGTTATAAAGTTTTTCCTAGCAATTAACCTACATTTTCCCTGCTCCAACTTTAGCCTATTACTTCTTGTTCTGTGCTCATTGACTAATGAGGATTAATTGGTCCCATCTTCTATAGCATCCCTTCAAAGTTACTTTAAAAGATTTACTGGTGCTGCACAATCAGAAGGCAAAACCATTTGTTACCTCAAGATGTAATTGTGCTAAAATTGAAAACTGGCTTTTATGTGCTTTAAAATACAGACAAACTCAGGCTTGTGGGAAACAGTAGAATCCCTTCCCAACAGGCAATGTTCCCTTGTAACAATATCTTTTTTGTAAAAGGGCTTCTCTTTCCCTTGTCACACACCACTGATTGAATCCTCTGCTAGACAGAGGACTCACTTCTAGATGAATCCTCAGCTACAATCCCCTCTCTCAGTTTAATCAAAATGATGTAGGTCTTCAGCTAGCACCTCTAGCTGTTGCTAAAAGCATTAGTCAGAGTGCCGCTGCCTTGATGTCAGCTTGAACAACTTTATCTACCGCACTGATTATTAAAAGTTAGGTAGTAAGGACTGAGTAACATCACACACCAGTGGCCCAGGACTGCAAGGTGCTGAGAGTGCACAATCCACATTAACGTCAGTGGGACTTGAGAGTGTTCAGCACCTCACATGACATGTCCTGATGTTACATCCAGAAATGGGATGTCCTCTGGCAGAACAGAACTAAAGTCACATACCATTTTATCCATTTTCTATACTGGTTAAAAATTATTTTGGTTTCTAAACCAGGCCAGAACAATATTAAGAACACATTATATTAGAGTAACACATTTGCTTTTGTGAAATATTCTTAATCTCAAGCTTTCACTAAAGGTATATGAATGCCGGGTATAAAACAGCTGAATAGCTAGATAAAATCTCTCTCTGCTGTTTGTCTATCACGGCAGCATAATCTTTTTGGGCTTTTAAAAGTATTTACTTAGCCCTTACTAGTTCTTCCTCCAGTGCTGAAATGCCATCTGCAAAAAACTATGTCTGGGTTGCTCCAGATGTTTCCCAATTCTTCGACATTTGTAATTTCATTCTCTTTGATGTCTTTAGCTGTGAAAATCAAGAAGCCAATCAAGACAAAGTTCCGCATGCCTGTCTTTAACTGGGTAGCTCTCAAACCCAATCAAATTAACGGGACGGTCTTCAATGAAATTGATGACGAAAGGATCCTGGAGGTATGAATACTGCATATTGTGTTTTGATTCCCAGTACTACGTGCAGTGTAAGTGAATGTACAGTTTTGCAAAGACAGATCATCATAGGAATTATTTCTGAAAGTTATTGTTTGTGTTGTTAAATAAGAATAGTTTCAGCTGCTTGAGATCCTCAGTAAAAAGGCATGAAATGGCTTTCAGTTTACCCCAGCTGAAAATCTGGGCCAGACTGACTATAAAAGTGCACGTCTTTGTTTGAAACAGATTAATCAAAGATGGCTGATGGCATTTTCCCAGTATAAACAGCTGATGCCATTTATGGGATGCAGGCTCCTGCAGATTGTTGAGTGCTGTTGAAGGAGAGTTGGAGCATCAGTGTAGTAGGGTTGAGCACTAAGCTTTTGTATAGTATACACGAGGCTACAGCTGGTAGAAGGATGAGTAAAAAGCTGAAAAATCTTTTGACCTTAATTTCACAAAATCACATGCTATAACACTATTAGAATATTAGATTTTGGACCATTACTGCAGACTATTGTCTGCAAGGGTGGATGTGCATATATCAACACAGTGTGGCGTATATCAGTCAAAGTCTTTCTATGGAATTCTGAGAAAACTTTGGACAAGTGCAATTTAAAAAATATATTTTTGTGGGGGGATTTCTTTCTTTTTAGGATTTAAATGTGGATGAATTTGAAGAAATATTCAAGACAAAAGCTCAAGGTCCAGCCATTGATCTTACTTCAAGCAAACAAAAGATAACTCAAAAAGGGTCAAACAAAGTCACATTATTGGAAGCAAACAGGGCCAAAAATCTTGCCATCACTTTAAGAAAAGCTGGAAAGACTGCAGATGAGATATGCAAAGCTATTCAGGTGTAAGTGCAAAACTTGTCGATGGAGCAATCATATCTAAGATTTACTCTGCTTTTTGGTAATTGGCACACATAGAAAATCTGGTTTTGAATTGGCAGATAATACAAAGGTTTTTGCAGCTGCAAAAGATCCAAGAATAAGGATGAACCATTCTGAGTCCCCCACAAATCATTGATTGCATTCTCCCTAGATGAGTTAACTTGCAGTTTTGTGTCATGATATCACTCTGCAAGTCAGTGCAAATTATCTTGGAATTTAAAAAAAAACCCTAATTAGTAGTTCTTAAAAGAATGCCATGAACGTAATTCACATTTGACTCCTATTATGCTGCATTTCCTATAATAACTGTAAATTAAAAGCAATCCTGAGACAAGTATGGTAAATATTAAGAATAGGTGAAAAGTTTTAGTTTTTGCCACAATGTCTGAATTTAATTCACATGCACTGAATGCAATTTAGATGGTATTGTTTATGTAATGATTAGATACAATGCCAAATGCAAAAATGATACAAGTGAGTACTACCAATCTTAACGAAGGAACGTAGTTTCATGTCCTGCTTCTTAAGAGTATTCATGCACTTTATGGATATGTCTACACAGCAATTAAACACTCGCAGCTGGTCCAGGTCTTGGGCTACAGGACTGTAAAACTGCTGTATAGATGTTCAGGCTTGGGCTGGAGCCTGAACTCTGGGACCCTGCAAGGGGGGGGGAAGAGTCCCAGAGCCCGGGCTCCAGCCCAAGCCCAGTCATCTAGCCCCACAGACAGAGCCCCACAAGCTTGCATCAGCTGATCCGGGCCAGGCGCAGCTGTGCCCCGGGTCTTTTATTCCAGTGTAGATGTACCCTAAGATACATTCCAGTTCACTTTCTTTAGTCTTTGGAACATATTGGAGATGATTACTTGCCTGTCAAAGCCAACATTTTGTTAGGCTAGAGTACTCATTTATTACTGCACTTTTCCCAAGTTAGACTCGAAAGCGTTAGCATTTGCGGCTATGATGAGCATCTAATGTTTCTCTGCATGAGTACACCTCAGACAGAGGTTTGGATGTTCAGACAAACATTGGTTCATTCTTCTAATCTGGCCAAGTACTAACATACTCTCAATCTGATGCTGCAGATCTAACTTTGTAGGTTACAAGATCCTTCTCCTTTTACATAAAATTAGTATCTTCTCTTCCCTGTTTTCATACTCCAGTATCTTATAGTTGGGGATCACCAGGTCTTCCCCCATTCTGCAGTCAGTAGGTCAGCTCCTTGCTTTGTCCGGCACTGCTATGTTCTGCTCGGTCAGCCTTTTCCTTATTCACACAAGTCTTGGTCTTGAAAGTCTTTGTGTGCTGCACAGCAGAGTGGCAAGAGTGTTTTCTTTCCATGCATGTGAGAGTGGAGGCTTAAGAGTGAGCAACAATAAGATTGTAAGTCCTCTTCACCCACTGGTTTACTTGTAAGTGCTCAAAGTAAACATAAAACATATGGCTAAAAAAATGGCCATATCTGAGGTAATGTAAAATTAAGTGTGGTCCTCATCATGTTAAAGATGTTAGCCACACGTCCCGCTTTAGGACTTACTGAGTAACATAGCAACCAGGCAGCAGCATTCACATCAATACAGCTTCAGTTACCCTGCTTATCGCTTTGAACATGTGCTTATACATTTAGCACTCTGCACATGCATTACGCAGGATCGAGCCCTCCCAGCCGTGCTCACCCAGAACAGTAAAAATGGAGGCCCACGGCTTCACTGTAAGCAATGCACCACCTAGTCAGCATCAGAGGCCACCAGTGTGTCAGGGGTGGCAGGAAACTCCTGAGGTTTATTTTTATTGTCCCAGGCTTGTGTATGGCACAGGCCTCCAGGAGTCATGTGCTCTGCCTATTTGAATAGGGATCATGGGGAAGGCAGGTTGCTGCCGTTTGGTTGGCTTTGCCAAAGCAGACAGGCCTGGCATATTTGGTGGGTCCTTCTTATAACACCAAGCTTTCTGTGTTGTTACGATATAGATTTGACCTGAAGACGTTGCCAGTAGATTTTGTCGAATGTTTGATGCGATTCTTGCCCACTGAGAACGAAGTGAAAGTGTTACGGCTCTATGAGCGGGAGAGGAAACCTCTCGAGAATCTGACTGATGAAGATCGGTTCATGATGCAGTTCAGTAAGATTGAGAGGCTGATGCAGAAGATGACCATCATGGCCTTCATAGGCAACTTCGCAGAAAGCATCCAAATGCTGACGCCGGTGAGTGAGCCACAAGCGATAGAGCAATGTTAAAAAATAAATTAGCGTTGAATTAATTCTAAGATGTGCAGACATTAGGGCTTCACAAGTGGAACTCATTCCAACACTCTGCATCACTTTTTAAGATACTTAGACAGACCAAACCTTCTTTCTGTTTTACTTTGCCATCTAGGTATAGCTGATCAGAAAATTTTCCTTGGAAAATACTTTCAAAGAGAAAAGAGGAAAAAAATCTCAATCAAAATGTTCACAAAAAAAAGTTTCATGTTTTTCAATCAGTTCTATATCTATCATAGGTTTAGGAATTTGACTATAGTAACCACAGTAGAGTTTAGGCCAGTGATTCTCAAACTTTTGTACTGGTGCCCCCTTTCACATAGCAAGCCTCTGAGTGCGACCCCACCTTATACATTAAAAACACTTTTAAATATATTTAACACCATTATAAATGCTGGATGCAAAGCAGGGTTTGGGGTGGAGGCTGACAGCTCATGACCCCCCATGCAGTAGCCTTGCGACCCCCTGAGGGGTCCCAACCCCCAGTTTGAGAACCCCTGGTTTAGGCCTTGCTCATGGGCTCTAAACAGTACATCTACAATGATTTTCAGGAGTCTCGCTCTGTGAAGCCAAGTACCACGGAGTTGTGTGGTGTCATAAACCCTATGCAGATTCAGCAGAGATATGTTAAAGATAGATGGAAGATTTGAATATCATGATGAATCATTGCAGCTCTTGAGAGGAAAGGAGAAAGAAATAAAACCAAATCTAGCCAAACAATGTTCTAGCTATGACTATCATTTAATATTGTTATTGCAGTGGTGCCCAGTGTCCTCAGAAAGGGCCAGTGCCCACGCCCCCCTCCCTAATTGATGACATCAAAGCTTTTTAAGTAACCCACTCGAAATGATTCATAGCATTTCCATTCATAGCACAGAAGAGAGTGACTATAGCATTTAATAGGTTACATTGCTAATTTTTAAAGATTGTCATCTAAGATATGCCTGCAAAATTTGTGCATTTGTGTCTGCAAACTCCACATCTCTGTATGCAAATACAGGCTCAGATTTTACAGACACAGCTTAGATGACAGTCTGTGTCCCAAAATGTTCACAATGTTTCTTTTTATTTTACACTTTTAAGTATTTAAACGTGGTTTTAATATAGAAAGCATATTGTTTGAATCATTAGCTGAAACGGAAGACGAATTAATGATGTTCATGCTATCTATACTGGTGACTCCCTGAGGCCTGTTCCACATAATTTGATACATCTTTCATTGTCATGAAGAGCATGGCACTGTAGAACCATGCTTGCATTTTATTTTACTCTACATTAAGCCTGCAGAGCATGTGAACAACTTGAAATCCATACACAGAGGGGAAGGAGAATATTCATGTCAAGATCCCCATCGTGCAGATCCAAGAGTAGAATTTGAGTGCTGACTTTTACCTTGCATTTAAGGTTTTACATGCGTTAACGACACCTCTTCTCGTTATTTGCTTTTAGCAACTCCATGCAGTAATAGCAGCATCTGTCTCAATAAAGTCATCCCAAAAGCTCAAGAAAATACTGGAGGTAAGTACAATTTTATTTATACACGTGTACTTTAATGAGATAATCAATGCTATTCCTCCATGCATACTGGAATATACCTACCTTCTTATGTTAAAAACTCACCGTTCAAAGTATATGTATTGACTGTTACCTCTTTCTCTCACTCTGGCAGATAATCTTGGCTCTTGGTAACTATATGAACAGCAGTAAAAGAGGAGCAGTTTATGGGTTTAAACTACAGAGTTTAGATCTGGTGAGTAGAAGAACAACATCTTGGCTGGGAGCTAGCTTTGGTGGGGAGGGTGCCTGCTACTCAGTTCTTCCCCTCCACACAGTTCATAAAAAAATGTTAATGACAGCCTTGCAATGGACCGTGCATGCCATTCAGTTCAGAGACAAGATGGGGGAGCTAATATCTTTTATTGGACCAACTTCTGTTGGTGAGAGAGACAAATAATTAATTAACTAATTGGAGGACCTGTGCTTAGATGGTTTCTGGTGTGGTGGAAGAAGGGTGGTGATGGGATAGATGAGTGAAATAAAAATAGAAGGGGTTCAGGTGCTGTAGTGCCATAATGGAGATAGAGGTTTAAATATCTTCAGTCATATGTGACATGAGATTGGCTGCTAATCCATCACAACTCCAGCTCAGAGTTTGGGACAATTATCAGTCACTGCCCAAGATAACAGACAATATAGCAGGTCAGGTTGGATGTGCATTAGCAGAGCTGTATGGGGAAAGCTCTCACAGCATCAGCCTGCACTCTGTCTGGCTTGAGCTAGTACTACCCCTCTCTCATCTTTCACGAGAACTAATGTGTGGCAAGTCCCACCCACCTTTTAAAACAACAGGGGGAAGACAGCTCATAGTGAACAAGTGGGCAATAGCCAATGAATAGATGCATAGTGGATGCCAACTCTATTTTAAAATATGACTATATGGTATAGTAAGAACAATTTGATTTGGGAACCTACTTAGCTGAGGGCTTTCTCCCATGTTAGTCTCAAAAGACATGCCTCTAATTTGTAGACCTAGTTTCTCAGCATTCCTTAATTGTTTTTCTTTGTGCTTCCCCATCTAACAAAGTATAAGTTCAGTCAACAGATAATTTATAGCCTGGCCTTTACCACACCTTAATCCAACAGTTTCCTTGCCTTTTGCTTGCAGCTGTTAGACACAAAGTCAACGGACAGAAAACAAACGCTGTTGCACTATATATCCAATGTTGTGAAAGAAAAATATCACCAAGTATCCCTCTTTTACAATGAACTTCATTATGTGGAGAAAGCCGCTGCAGGTACTGTGACCAGTGTTGCCCTTGTTAGTATGTGAACCAAGTTCTGATGTATTTTAATCCTCCTATCCCCATGAGCTGTTCAAGAGTGGGTCACACTGCGTCAGAGTGGGCGACTAGTGTCATATATTCTACAAATATTCACATTTTCCCCATGCTTGTAAACCTTTTCTCTTCTCTTTCTATGAACATGCAAATGACCAAGTTTTACTGGTCCACACGGTCACAGAAAGTGAGTTTCAGAGCTGAGAGTGTGAGTATTCACAGACGCCAAACTTTGCCCTCTTCCCAGAAGTGCTGGTGTGACATCCAGCCAGCAAACAGATGCAATGTAACCTGTCAGTGTGAATACTGAATACTTGCAGAGAATTTTTCAAGATCAGTATAAGAGTTTAAGAAAATGTGAACAACAAATACATTTCAGGACACTGATTGTGATCTGCTTGTGGATATTACATAAGTAGAAAAAGAGCCTATGTTTGTTGAAGAAGCTGTTCAGCATCAATTACACAACTGTAATCCCAAATGAACAGTTTAAATTACCGTCCCCTTTGCAATAATGTCCAAGTGTTGGGTTTTGTTTTTTTAAAAGAACATACACCCGTATTACTGGTCAACATGAGGTTGTCTTAGTTAAACACTATTAATACGCACACAAGTGCAATGTGAATTTTGGAGATTGTCATCATCTTAGGGGTTAAACACATTCTTAAGTAAGTAAACTGATTTTCTCAATTTCTTGTGCTTGCAGCTGGATTCTGATATTTAAACTACAACTTGTTAGCCTTTAGTAGATTTTAGGAATCCATTTTAAACACAGGGAGGAGAAAACTAAGTGCTATGTTCTGTGCATTAGTGGGTGCTTGTATGGATGCAACTAACCCCTGTACAAGAATGACTTAACAGTCAGTTATTTTCGGTGCTACCATGGAAATGCACCAAACATTTATGAATTTTTATCCCAAGCTAAAACAAGTCAAAATACTGATGAGCAATTTCTAATTATACAGGGCAATCTGTGGCTTAATATTTACCAAGTTCCCAACTCTGAGATCCTGTGCCTGGATTTATGAAACACTTCTCATTAAGGAGTTAAGAATGTTTAGATTTAAGCCTATAGTAGAGTGTTTATGTCACTCTCTCTACAAAAACACTTCAGCATTTTTGTTTATTTCTTAGTGTCCCTTGAAAATGTCCTGTTGGATGTCAAGGAGCTCCAGCGAGGCCTGGACCTGACAAAGCGAGAATACACCATGCACGACCACAATACAATGCTGAAGGAATTTATTCATAACAATGAAGGAAAACTAAAGAAACTGCAGGATGATGCAAAAATAGCCCAGGTATTCTTTTTAATCCCAGTCCCTGCCAAGGTGATGTAGAGACCAAGCAAGAAGAATCTGGAAATGCAGGAATTCCTGACGGTTCAAGAGGATATAACCTTCAGCAAACTGTGGCGTGGCTGAGGAGATTCAGGGTTACTTGAGTTCCTCTGCCGGCTTTACCAGTGCTCACTGAAGTGATGACATAATATTAAGGTTATCACATACTTTCCTCTCTGTAGTCATCTAGCCAAGCTATGCATATTTGCACCCTGAAGTCCATCCTCCTAGCCTCCTACTCAATCTTGTCACTCTTCTCTAAACACTTTGCTAACGTTTTGCTATTTCTCCTCCGACAAACCTTTCCAACCACCATGAGTTAAACTTTCAGAAGTGCAGCCTCCTTTTTGCAGGCACATTTGACTCTGAAATTTTCTGCCTACAAATGAATTACAGCTGCAAAGCTGAGCACTTTTGCCCAACTTAATGTGTGTGCACACACAGCACGTAGTGCAAGGTGCAAAGATCTCTCACATTTACATCCACAGTTCATTTTGTGGATACACAAATGCAGATGCAAATCTTGCAGGTACAGATTTCACACACAAAAAGGGAGGCTGAGAATACATCCCTTTACGACATTCTGTAAATGGACAATAGCTCATTTTTAAGATGCGAAGTTGAATGAAAAATGTGCTTCTTACAGGATGCCTTTGATGATGCTGTGAAATATTTTGGGGAGAATCCCAAGACAACCCCCCCATCCGTCTTTTTCCCAGTCTTTGTCCGATTTGTGAAAGCCTACAAGGTAAGCAGACATTCATTTTGCTTCTTATTCCACATCTGAGTATGGCAGGGCTACTAAATGTGGTCCGTAGCTTTCTACAATCCAGCTCACAGCTCCCTTCAATTCAAAGGTGTAACCTCCTGAGACTACAGACCCCAGAATGACCTGTGAAAGAGCACTGCATAGCCTTGCTATGGGACATAAAGTAAACCAGCAAAGGGCAGGGCAAGTAATTGTCTCAGGATTTTACAGAAACCAGGACAAACCACCATAGCAATAAGATTGAACAGCCCTAGTCTCTCTGGTCAGTCTTTGTGTGGGAATCTAGCTCCACCGCCTTAACCTTAGTGTGAATCATGGAGCTGAATGTCTATGCAGTGCCCTGAAAGTGCCCCCTCTGGTCTTCAGTGTAAACAGTTATAGTGACAAACTCATTTTTGCAGTAAGAGATGATTCTCTTGTTAATAAATCAATCAATCAATCTCAGAGTCCCTTCATTTGTCGTTGTTTGCAGCTCTAATGTGGTTTCTTGGTCTTTATGCTAAACAGCAAGCAGAAGAGGAGAATGAGTTGAGAAAGAAGCAGGAACAGGCACTCATGGAAAAACTTCTGGAGCAAGAAGCATTGATGGAGCAACAGGACCAAAAGGTATGAAACAGAGGACTTTGGGACAATATTACTTGAATATTTTGTCTTTAAGGTAAGGAACAACCCTTTCTGCCCTCTAGTGATGTTTGAGAGGACATACAGGTAAAACCCCTCCTGGTGCCATTTCATAATTCTCAGCTCAAGAAAAGAATTTCATAATTCTAACACTCTTTATATGTGGTGAATTTTGGTTTTACAAAAAGGGTTTAAAAATAGGCAGTGTTTTTTATCTTTACCAGCCAATCTTATAACAGGAAAAACGTCAGTAAAAGAGCATAATTCTGAATTTACCCAGTATGCACATCTCAGCAGGCCCGACGAGAGAAATTTGGGGCTCTGGCACACCATGTTCACTGGATTCCCACCCTCACCCATCCCACTTTATTTACCCAGATGTTACGGACGGTTTAGGAACACCCCTCCAAGCTCCTGGCCCTGATACAATTGTTCCTCTTTTCCAGTCTTCTCATCAGCCCTTCATTTCAGTAACAGGCTCTGAGAAATTAGGTTGGAATAAAGCATCTACTCCATGCCCCTACCAACAGCAGCTTTGTGCCTTAGCTTTATATTGCATTTTCTTAGGGCTTTGTCTATATTGTGTACATAGCATTTTTGTTAACTCTTATATTTACAAACTAACATGTAATATGCCTACAGAGAAACTATCCCTATAATATCCTGGTGGTAGGCCCCACCCAAGGGATGCCCTGTCAGAGAAATTACCCCTATAATATAGTAGCAGGCCCAGCCTAAGGATGCCATTTTATAGAAACCTTTTTCCCAGCATGCCTTTCTGGGACTGGCCCCTTAAATTTAGCAAATGGAAACAGCTACAGCCCTAAAGTAGCCATTTTGTAACTGGTTGCTTCTGTTTGCATTTCTTTCCCTTCCAGCTTTCCAGTACCCTTATCTCCAGTCATGTTTTCCCTTTCTGATGCTGGAGGAAATGTCTCTCAATCCTCTAATGCTTTACAGGATTAAATAAATGGTAGAAGAGGTGGAGAGTGAAATTAAGCAAGGGGAATGGACAGATTTGGCTGCTAGAAAAAACACTCACCAGTTTTGACTTCCTTTGTGGGTTTAGACAAGTCACCTAACCTCTCTGCCTTGGTTTCCCAATCTATAAAATTGGAATGAGACCCAAATATTAATACTTGAAATTGAGTAAGATGGTATTTGGTGTCTTGCACATTTGAGAAAAGGAAAAGAGGAATGCAGCAATGCCCTGTTGGGGGCCACTCCTTACTGATCTTTACTCCCATTTCCTTTCAGTCTCCTTCCCATAAAACAAAGAGACAGCAGCAAGAGCTAATTGCAGAGCTACGCCGACGACAAGTCAAGGATAACAGACATGTGTATGAGGGGAAAGATGGTGCAATTGAAGACATTATAACAGGTAAAGGAGCTTTGTTCACAAGCCTCAGGGGCTGGTTCACAGACATCATCAAATTGTGGCTGTATATAAATCTCACCTGAACTATTGTAGAGCTCTACAAACCTCTTAACAGGTATGGTTCAAATACAGTTTAGAAAGTTGTTTCCAGTGCTGTGACTGAAGTATACAAATCCTTGCCACTGGTGTGTAACAAACCAGACCCCCTAACCAACTTTAATGTGCCCACTTTCTGCACATTTTCCATATACAGAGGTATCAGTCAGATACCCTTTGCTTATTTCACAAGTTTTTCTTTCAGCGTGTTGTCATGACAAACTTAGTCCTTATGCTAAGCAATAGAAAGTTCAGTACCCTGGCAGACAGTACTGCAGTCTCTGCATGCCATACAAACCTTTCCTTGCAAATGTTTCCACAAACAGAATGACTGATGTTTAACATTATTTAAGAGCTTGCAGTTTCATTAAAAAGTACTAACAGTAATTACCCCATGTTAATACACAGCTCAGGACAAATCATTTGGTCATACCTGAATGATTTATAACCCTGACTTGTCATGGTTTTACTGCTTTCCAATTAGGGTAGACTAGTACTTTGCACTTGCCACAAATTAGAATTGAATACAATAGTGGCTGGGTGTAATTTATAATAATAGCCAGAGATGATCAGGACACTGAGCAAAAGATTCCTGTTATAGCAAAGTTGCTTTTTAAAATCTGTTTTTGTTTAGTGTCCTTTCAATTTACATAGATGTTCTGGTAGTTTATTTTTATTTTGATGCATATTCTGCATCCCTGTAGGGGAAGGGGCAAAATGATTTTCATAGAATCTCAGGGTTGGAAGGGATCTCAGGAGGTCATCTAGTCCAACCCCCTGCTTAAAGCAGGACCAATCCCCAGATTTTTGCCCCAGATCCCTAAATGGCCCCCTCAAAGATTGAATTTACAACCCTGTGTTTAGCAGGCCAATGCTCAAACCACTGAGCTACCCCCCCCCCCCCCCCAAGTGGTCATCCATTTCACTCGTACCAACGCTTAAGAAAAAAAAATCTTTGGGCTAGATTTTCTTGACCATATTTTGCATTACTATCTTTTTCACAAGGTTTTCCCGAGGGAGAAAGAAACAATGTTGCCACTTAGGGCATAAAAGGAAGCTGAAGGCATTTCTGTCCTAGTTGAGTGCTGGGTTGGAACTTCTTCACTACAGCTTTCAAGACAGTGTACACCAACATTACGTTTTAGGCCTTTATTGAAAGGACACAGTCAATGTAATAGCTAGTCATTTTCAATAATGAATTAAAAGCTGTCATACATTCTACACCGCCCCAAGGTCCCACTGCCAGTGTTTGTAATTTTACAAATCACATTTTCCCATTCCAAAATAAAGTTTTAAACCTACTCAAAGGGAGAAACTGACCATGTGAGACACTGTGAAGATAACCATATGCAAAGGAATATCAAAGTGCTTATAGCAAAAGTGGATAAACAATTATCAGACATGTTATTTTTAAATTGATGGTGTCACTTTAGACCCCGAGAAAAGCTTTAGTTGACCCAAATCTATGAACCTTAATGATCTGTAGCCACCACCAATGATGGCACACTCCTCTCTGGATTAGATTTTTATTACCAGTGAAAACTGTGAAATTTAAAGTGGTTATTTGGAGCCTATTTGGAATTTTTGTCCCCAAAGAAACCCAGCTTAGTGTGTCCTATTGTGAATAAATAACTGATCAGAACATGTAAAACCATCCCAGGATGTCCTTAACAAAGCACTAACAGTGTACTAATGCAACAGATCTTTGCTTCTTACTGTGTTGTTTGTCATGTTTGGCTGTTATTTTCCATGCAGTGTTGAAGACAGTGCCCTTTACCGCTCGAACTGCCAAGCGTGGCTCTCGGTTTTTCTGCGAACCTGTTCTCACTGAGGAATTCCATTACTAAACTATTACTCTTTCACACCTGATGCTCTTAAAAGGTTGCTGTAGGTTTTTGACATTTCTCCATTTGTATGGATCTCAGACAGGGCCACGTGAATGTTAAATGGATAGGAATGTCTGGTGTCTACTTGGAGTTGTATTTTGTCATCACGTCATTGCACGTTCTTGTATTTCAGTTGTCTTTTATTATATCCCATCAACCTTGTGCATGACACTTTTGGCTATCCTCACATTTCAAAGCCACCACTGAGCTATATGACAAATGTCATAGAACAGCAAGTGATGGAAGTCACAGAATGCTATGTATAGAAAAGCAGCTTTGTTGCAAATCAGAGTCTACAGTTTACGGGAGGGTTAGTGGGTCAAATGCAATTATAAATGTGACAGTTCACCTGGTTTTTCTATGGCATCTCTTCTGGGTTCTAGAAATCCCCTTCTATGTGAAGTGGCTTATGTAGTATGCATGCAGTAAACGACTGCTCTGTTGGGAAGCAGAAATGCAGTGTGCATGAGCTGAGCTGGACTTTCATGGGCTTTGCTTCCTGGCTTGCAATAGTTACTTGTGATTATATACATGATCTGGGGAGCACTCACTCATTTTTTTCAGCCATTTTAACCAGCACTTGCATGTTTGTCTGCATGTATAAGGAATAAAATGTACAAAACCCTTTCTCATTCTGTCACATCCACATTTAATTTATTTTTCAGTTCCATGCCAACTTAAACATGATTGGAAATGCCTATTGAACAAAGAGAAACAGATCACAGAGGGTGGCTACATGGATTGGCTATCAGTAAAGCTGAAAAAAAAAATCCAGAATGATTCCCCCTCTGATGGGGGGGAAACTGGGGACACACTCTGTAGTGTCGTGGCCATTGTGAACACTGGTTGCAGACTTGGACTTCTGGGTCTAGTCATGGCAAAGCTGTATTAAATGAAATCTTAGAATTATGCTGGATTCCTGTTTGGTCAGTGCCAACTTCAGAGGATTGGATGAAGAGACCATCTAAGTATGGGTACGGGGGAAAGGAAATGGAGAAACTTAATTTTGTTCTCAAAATTCTATAGCAATCACAGCTATTGCTGATCTAGAATCTATTACTGATAAATATTGGCATGTAACTGGATATATTTACATCTTGTGGTGTAAACTATATAAAGGGTGTGTTTAACACAGCATGTATCTGTTAACACTGTTGTCTTTGTTATTGGTTCTTAATCAAAGACAACAGCGTTTCATTTCTTACTTTTGCAATGTATTTTTATGAGAGCTTCTTAATAAGATTGCAAACTATAATCAGCTCAATAGTTATTTTCTCTTTCAAGTTAATTGCTGAATTGTCTTCCTGGAGCCAATCTTCAAAGCAGCTTGGAATTTTGTTAGTGAGAGACTAGGATGGCCATCTTGTCCTTTCCTTCCTGTTTCTAACCTCCTCTTGTAGCCTTGGCCTCCTTTCCTCTTCTTGCTCTCTTGGCTAACATGCCTGGGATTTTTGAACACTAAGTTGAGTTGCTCTTCTTTTTCCATCCCATTTTTTATTTAACCATCATTTTTGTGTTTTTTTTTTTTTCTTGTTTAGCCCTAAAGAAGAATAATATCACTAAATTTCCAAATGTTCAGTCCTATTGTGAATAAATAACTGATCAGAACATGTAAAACCATCCCAGGATGTCCTTAACAAAGCACTAACAGTGTACTAATGCAACAGATCTTTGCTTCTTACTGTGTTGTTTGTCATGTTTGGCTGTTATTTTCCATGCAGTGTTGAAGACAGTGCCCTTTACCGCTCGAACTGCCAAGCGTGGCTCTCGGTTTTTCTGCGAACCTGTTCTCACTGAGGAATTCCATTACTAAACTATTACT